ATTGTAGAAGTGAATAAATATAGATTGATTGAATGAATGAATTCATATTTATTATGCAGCGGTGGCTCTCATGAATGAAGCGTATGCAGTGTCTTGGACGCAGCCTGGCTCGGGGTAGAAGTGCGCATTGAAGCGCTGTACACTTCAGAGAGTGTTTGCGGTCCAGATTTCACAAAGAAACTGAAGCCAAAACTTCTGCACATTTGAGGAGTTATGTGGTGCGATATCTCACGGCACTCGCTGCGCACTCTGGACAGGGCAGTGAGACATTTGGAGTGAGCAATACCATCGGTGCGTTATTGGGGTGTGTGTCTGTGTGAGGGTTACACAAATCTAATGAAATAACACATTGCTTTACCAGATGTGAGGAATACAAATAGCCGTGCGTAACTACGCAGTGCAGAGCCTGTCACAGCAATAGCTGGGTCACACATCCCTGTTGCGTAAAGTGTATTTACTGTATATAGAGCCTTTCACAGTTCAGGATCACAAACCGCTTCACATTTAAAAAATATATACAGATCAAAATAATACACACACAAGTCAGATTTAATAGAGGGCCCTGATCATGAGCTGTGATTTATTCGAAGTTTGCATTTTTCCATTAGACTTTTTCCGATGCGCAAATTCAACTTTTGAAACATGATGCTCAATGAAAACACAGCAAGTTTCATACATGAGGCCCTGTGTCTCACACAGGCCTGGGGTTTACCTCATCAGTGCGAGGTGAACCTGGCCTGACTGCGCTCTCCTCCTCTGGGACCTACGGGCCCGGGCCTCTGGCTCCTCTACCTCACGAAGTTCACGCTGAACTTTCTTAAAACTAAAATGACTAAAAAGGCTGCTCTGTTGTGAATGTTTTGAGAGCGTTGTCAATCTTAAAGACGAGGAATGGCTGCTTGTTCTCGGGAACGAGCTTCGCGCTGCGTGATGTGATCATGCAGATTATTGGACAAAATTATTCAGCCAATAAACAGGACTATTTGAAGCAACGTGAACGCTCAGGGGGTTACATTTTCTTAAAACATTAGAACGCAACATTTAGGCAATAATGTGTGTATAAAAATAACAATATTAAAATTATGACATTTAATAAAAAGGCTAATGACTTGAGAGGCGAAGAACAAATTTGAGTAGGCCAAGAAAAAAACTGGTAGGCACCGGCCTACCCGGGCCTATCCCTGGCGCCGCGGCTGTTCTTGACATAACAGGGGCAAAAGAGTTGCTAAGAAGGTTGCTAAGGCAAGCTGGAGTTTACTATTACATGAAATTCAACAGGAGTCAGAGCGAGTTGGAGCCGAACATCTATTGTCAATCTATGAAAACTAAATGCCAAAATGGTTTTGCTCATCTCCTCAAGAGTCCCAACATTTTGAGAAATCAATTGGAAGTGCAGAGAAAGAGGTGGTATGGTGTAGTAGGACAATAGAGTATTACTCAAACATGCAAAAATCAATCATGATGAACGTTTTCAGCACAATAATGACAAGAAAATACTTTTATAATCAAGTAATGAGATCATAAAAAAAATTCAGCATCATATGTGGTATTGTCACCCCAGCTTTTCAAATCATATATCATGTTGCTTTCACTTCACAACTGTCTGTGATTTCGTTGTGGTCCTTAAAAACATAAAAAGTGAGTATCTGGGATCTTGATATGGATTCAATTGGATCTTCTTCATTTATTTTTAGAAAGGAATACTTATATTTATTGTTATCATAAGTACATTTATCCATGTGACAATTTGACTTCTTCCCACACAATGCATAATAATAGTAAAAAGCTTTGCCATAATTGCAGGAACAAGCCCAAAACCTCTGCTCCAAGTGTTTGCCATGATGGGACAGAAATAACCCACATGTACACACATATATGCAGACCCACAAACACACGGTGAAGCAGCAGCAGTATTCTCAGCAGTGGAACGCGCCCTCTTGTGGTCGCCTGCTGGAAGTGCACTCATGGCTACGGGCCCACTTTCTCACACGGCCTTCACTGAAACAACAAGCGGTGTTCCCACTGGCTCCAGAAATAGGTTTATTAGGCGTTTGAAAAAGGAAACTCCAAAGACCAAATAGACACCTTTTTATTTTGCTGGAATGGCGAGACGAGACGATCCGGGTCAAGGTGGTGTTTACCCTCTGGGCACCTGAGCGGTCAGAGGCACGGAGGGTCGGTCAATAAACAGCTGCAGACAGACTGGCTGTGCGTGTCGTCATCCGTGTGCGCGTATTATATACCATAAATATACTCTAAATAAACAGTATTGATAATAATAATAATAATAATAATAATTTCTATAGCACTTTTAAAACAGTCACAAACAGTCAGATCAAAAATATATACAGCAGAATAAAGCAGACGACAAAAAAGACAATACAAAGTGGAACATTGAAATACAACATGTGAAGTTTAAAACCAGCAATGAAAGTTTGAAACAAGTGATTTAAAAGAGGATATTGATGGATCAGGCCGGATGCAGACTGGGTTTAAATCTGGGGTACCTAACTTAAAAACCATAAAATTGCAACCCAACTTACTCGCTCACAAAACAGTTTGGCTCTAACTTTTACAGTGGCGTCAACAGAAACTGGCCTAAAACAGCATATTTTTATTTTGAATGAATTCATGAATGTGTTATGGTGTTATGTAGATTTTGTCAAAAGTCATATAACGAACCCTTTTAGCCCAAAAACTACCAAAGTAAAACCATTTCTTGGGACGTTGCATGTTCTTTTTAAAGCTGGGGTCCCTAAATAATTTTTGTTATTAAAAATCTATGTGGTTTGTCCCAATAGAAAGAGTAAATCAGACCACATCATCCTCTTCGTCGTCATCTTACTCATATCTTTTGTTGTTCACTCACTATTTGACTCTTTGAGCTAAGAGCTGATTGGCCGAGGGAGGGTGGTCCTCTCTTTTTCACTTTTCTGTCTGAAAAAGTTGATTTGAGACGTGACAGAGGCCAAAGATACATGCATGTGAAAACTAGTGATTGTTTTGAGAGCAAGGGAGTTACGTCAGGGGTGTCCAAACTTTTCAGTAAGAGGGCCACTTTAGTTCATCAGACTTGATCTGGGGCCGACAACCTGGATTTAAAAAAGCAGATTGACTGGATTCTGTACTTCAAAATGGCTTATTGATTCACAGCTGCATTGTATGTGGAATGTTGTGACACTATCATGAAACAAATGTCAGTAAATAACAATAGAGTCCACGACTGGATTCGGAGACTCTGAGATTTATAACGAGGTATAGCACGACTGTGTTGGTGGAGCAGAAGTTGGTTGGATGACACATGTCAAAGAGCCTCCATGGAAACTTTGTGCAGCAGAGGGCCACATAAAATGCCACAGAGGGCCGCAATTGGCCCGCGGGCCTGAGTTTGGACATGCTTGAGTTACATGGATAGCAAATCAGTTTGGGATGGGTTGAAAGTTAGAGACCCCATCTTTAATGCACTGTTCTTATGCTGACCAGCCTTGCCTCTCCCCAAACCTGACTCGTCTCTCCAAAAGTTTTCCTCTATACAGAATTAAGCGAGAAAATCAAAAATTGTGATTTGAAATGCAGATAATGAGATCTATAATCCATCTGCAGATGAATCCACGCTCCACCATTGATACGTGCACCACAGCTTGAGAAACCTTGACCCAATCCTACGCTAAATCCATTCCCCATTAAGCTGCTGTTTGGATTGGTTTTCCAAAGAAATAACTGGAATAGGGAAAAAGAAAACAAAAATGGGAACAATAACTGATAATACCGTTTTTATCATTCCTTTATCAGCAAAAAAACACTTGCATCTTTAAAATACAGACCGTCCCGGAGCAGACGCAGACGCCGAGTTTGGGACATCCTCAATAGCCTCTTTGTGCTCCCTCTCTTTTACAGGTGCCATTTTAAACTTAGCCTTTTTTATTTTTTTCTATTTTTTTCAAGCGCTATTCTAAACACGCTGCTGTATACATATTCATCCCAACGTGTAAACACAGGAAAAGCAGCAGGAATAATTTAATTTCACTCCCAAATATTGCCCTTTCCCCCCCAGCTCCTCAAACGCAGAGAAATAAGTGATAATAATATGTCTAGATATGGAAGACTTGGAGGCTCCGCGACGTTCCCGATTTGGGTAGAACTGCTGCTAATTACAGCTGTGTGTGCGAAAGGGAGGGGCAGGTTTTTTTGTTTTTTTCCAGTGATGTGTGGTGCAGATATAGTATAAATAGGCGTGGGCTTGCACTGGAGGGCAGAGTATCTCCTCTCCTGCTCCTAAAGGATTAAACAGCAGCACCAGGAGTGACTGGTGCGGACACACTGCTTTTTGCCTACACGGAAGCCGGTACGTGAAGAGAATCTTTAATTTTTGGGTTCTTTTTAAAGTTTTGGGCAAGTGTTTGGATATGGGTTTATTTGGACTTGGCTTTGCATGTTTGTATTGTTGATAATTTTTGCGTTGCTTTGGGTGCAGTCGTTAAAGCCGGTGTGACTGAATTTTAAACCGTTTTTAGTTTTTTAGATTTGCTCGTTTTTGCATGCATTCATTTTTGTTTGTGTCTCTCTGGCAGATTTAAAGCAACTTTTACAGACAGAAAGGCAAAAGTCGAGTGGATCTCCCATTTGCAACCAATCAGCTGTTAGGCCCTATGTTTGTTATAGTGATAGAGTTTTCTTACAAATTTGCTTTTTGTTTTTGATTTTTTGTACATTACTCCTTTATAAAAAAACAGACAGAATCTCCAAATCATAAAAAAACATCTCCACAATTTTTTCTTTGTAAATTCAACTTTTCCTTTAGTGAAAAACTATACTTGTGTTGTTGCTAGCTTGCATGCATGTCTATTGTGTTTGCATGTATTAACGCATAACGCAATTTGCAAATGGACACTTTGCGATCTCTGGATGCATTGGCCAATCTTTATCCTCTCTCGTTCCCTCTGACCTCTGACCTTGACCTCTCCACTCCTTCCCTCTGAACCCGGCAGGTCGGAGCAAAGATGATGGACCTCCGCGTAGCCTGCATCGTGCTCCTCTTGGGGACCCTGACTGCAGCTCATGGGAAAGGATACGTGGTGAAGAAGGTGGTGAAGGCCGCCCCTCAGTATCAGCCCTACTCTGTCAAAAGCCAAGGTGAGAAAAGCACAGAGACGCATCGGAAGCATCACACTTTTTTTTTATTACCCATTTTAAACCCTTCACAAAAACAACAGGCAAATGTCCTGCACATAGACATATCACACAAAAAAAAAAAAGCAATATTGGCCCTAGTTTTATGGAGTTTTAGAAGGTCTCTGCAATCATCTATATCAGTGTCTCCCAAAGTGGGGTCCGCGGCCCCCTGGTGGGCCGCGAGGGTACTGCAGGGGGGCCGCGGGAGGTCATAAAAAAAATAATATAATTATTTAATGTTAAATTTATAATGTTTTGTTTGTAATATTAAAATATTTGTGTTCATTATTTGACTTGAATAATCCACTGTAATCATTTTTGTATTACAATGTTTGTAGCAGAGGCTATTTCCCCAAAATAAAATAACCAGAAGAGCCTATTCTTAATGTTGTCTTCTTGGTTATTATTTTGGGGGGCCACGCAGACCCGTCAGATTTTTAAGGGGGCCTCGGTGTTACTGAGTTTGGGAATGGCTGATCTATATTGTCAAAAACAAATTTGAATGTACACATTGTCGAATCAATCATACCATCAAATATGTTATTGTGTTGTATATGTTATTAGTAAATCACATTTAACAAAAAACTGTATTCAAAAATAACAAAATTCTTATAAATGATACAAATTTAAATCAATCGTGAAGGAAATTCTTGTGCCATAGACATCATAGAGGTAGGATCTTATACTGTACAACTCTCATAACCAAAGTATATAAAATACTCTAGAATATATACTATAATCTGCGCGCTCTTTATAGTCCTTGAATAACTATAAAACATTATAATTTAGATGCAAATAAGGCTTATGTGTTGTTTATAGCCCGTGCGAGCAGAAAGTGGACAAATGGCTTCAAAGGCTTTTTATCACATGTAATTTTGGCTCGGTTTTTACGACCAGATGGGCATGTTTATGTCATCAAAGAAAAAAACAAAAATCAGTGCTTCTAAGAATATATGCCTATGTGTTTAGGAGGAAAGAAAATGCATATTGTGGCTGCTGTCGTAGACTTCAGTGTGTGGAGGGAACACAAAACTGCAAAAGCAAAATGTTTAGTTACTTATCTTTTACTCCATAAACAGTTGGACCAGTATAATATCTTGTATTTGTATTGGTCTGTATTTGACAGTCTAGTACTCTGAAAATGTCCGTTTCACCTACCACCTATCCCCGCCCATGCGTTTCCTCAGCAGCTCAACTTTTTTTTTAAATTACTGAAAAATTCTAGCTCAAATAAAATGTTGACGTAAAGATTATTCCCTGTTTTAAAACATCATAAATGTAAATCTGCTGCAGATGAAAAGCTATACCGGTGTTGCAGTTTTAAACAAAAAGTCAATGGACATGGTTTATATTATCAAAATGTCTCAAATTAAAATTATAGCAAACAGTGGAAATAAATGCAAAATTATGATGCATTTGTGGTGTACTTTCATTCAAAACACAAAAAGAAAAAAGCATGGTACGTCCCCTTTAACGTTGTGTATATTGACAGTCAGATCTCTTTCAGCTTTTTACGATTATGTCAAATGATAGGAGTAAGTGGCCTAAGTGCAGAGCAGGATAATTCGAAATGTAAATCTGTGCGCTTGTTATTTTTGTCCTAGAAAGTATATGGCGGTATTTTTAGTGTGACAATTACAGGCAGAAGCAGAGCGCGGTTAGCTTGGGTGTGCCTTCTGCTCCAGTGTAAGCATGTGTGGTGTGTGGATCAGAGCCCACGAGGAGAGCCTGCATCTGGGCCACGCCAAGCCTCCACCTGGGCACATACAGGCTAGTTAGAAAGATATTTAAGAATTATTATTAGACTATTACTAGTATTAGCTTCATTTAGGAGGAGGAGGCAGCGGACTGAGCCGACATGGCCACACTCCTTCCAGTTTATTTTGTAAAGCTCAAAATTACTGCATAAAACAAGAATTTCAATATACATTTTTTAAAGGAATACAAAAGCAATTATTTTGTAGTATAGTGTAACCTTGCTTTTTGTAGCCTGAATTTGAACCATTTTAACTTGTGTTTTCTGGAAGACTGTTCCCAATCACAGCTAAAACGTTGAATTCCCCATGTTAGTCCAACAGCAAAAAAAATTAAAAAAATGCATGGTTTAAAAGAAAATCAAAAACATGTTTAAAAAAGGAGGCTTCAGTGCAGTAATGGAGCAAACTGCCCCAGGGCAATCCAGACTGTTGATTTATTGAGCAATATAAATTGAATATAATGATGGGATTGACCCATGTTCACAGAAATGAGGCAATAGGAGAAATGTTTGTGCAGCTGTGGCCTCGTAAAATGTGTTTGAGACAGTACTTGAGTTTTCCCGTCGGTATTAACTGTCCCTGTGACAACTGGGATGTCCCACTGATGTGACCACAGGCAGCTGTGCCTCTGACCACAGCGGTCACATGACCACAGCGGTCACATGACCTCAGTCCAGTGGAAGAAAAGTACACACAAATAAAGTTACTAAAGAGTAATTGACTCTAGTTCAAATCATTGTTTGTCTTTTGTTACAAAAACAATGATTCCTGATGTCTTCATTGATCATGTTTACAATTGGTGTTTCAGTTTTTACGTTGTTTATCCAATCAGAAAGCAGAAGGAAAGTCACATGACCCTCTTCTTCGGGTTGCCAGTTTCAGTGTGTTTAAGCCTGAAACCTTCCAAACCTCTAAGAACATGTAGCTTCAGCCACAGGGAGTAGCTCAGATCCACATAGAAGCTGCTGGTGTCGTCAGGGGAACAGCACCGATGCAGCCTCAGCAGCAGCAACTGCCCTCATTCAGCGGGAGCTCTGCCCACGGCTTTGGTTATATTTGTTTCATTTAATTTAATATTTATAATATTATACTTTATACTTTTTAATACATATAACACAGCACATACAGTACATGCAGGTCTTTAGAATGTAATCAGAAATGTATTTAGAAAGTATTCAAGTATCCCATTCAGATTGTAAAAAGTACTATGTAAAAAGTTTTGTTTCTGAAAAACTAAGAAAAACTGATGTTCGAAGTTTTTAATGCGGAATTATTCTGATTTATGCTCGAACAAAACAATGACTCCATAATGTTTCACATGGTGAACTCTCCCTGACTGATCCTCTGTCTCCTCTCCCCACAGTCGCCCCAGTGGTGGGAGAGCCTGGGCCCCCAGGTGAGCCTGGCCCCGAGGGGCCTGCTGGTCCCCCCGGTCCCCCTGGTGAGAGCGCTGAGGGTCTGCCTGGCCCCGAGGGCCCCCCTGGATCCCCTGGTGCACCTGGACGGTCCATCGCTGGCAAACCTGGTAACCCAGGTGGCTCCGGAAAACCCGGCTCTGATGGGGCCCCCGGTGAGAAGGGAGACACTGGAGCCCCTGGCGCACAGGGACCTAGAGGAGCCCCTGGACCTTCTGGGACCCCCGGCCCCGCTGGACTGTCTGCCACAGGCAAGCCTGGACCTGCTGGACTTCCTGGAGCCATGGGCCCCCGAGGAGAGCCTGGCCTGAAGGGACACCCTGGTATCCCAGGCCTGCCTGGTCAGAAAGGAGACATGGGGGTGGGTGTTCAGGGACCTCAGGGAGAGACAGGACCAGAGGGGCCTGCAGGTGCTCCTGGAGCCCCAGGTGAGGAAGGAGTAGGTAAGCCAGGAAAGCCTGGTATGCCCGGTGAGCCAGGAAAGGGAGGTACCCCCGGCAGAGATGGTGCTGCTGGACCTACCGGACCCATGGGACCTAAGGGACACACTGGAGCTCCAGGTGTAGGCATGTCAGGTAAACCAGGTGAGAACGGAGCTCCCGGTCTGCCAGGACCCATGGGTCCTAAAGGCCACCAGGGTCCTACTGGAGCGACCGGGGCCCCTGGAGTGCCTGGGTATGGAAAGCCTGGTGCTAACGGAGAGAAGGGAGCCACAGGAGCCACAGGGGCCACTGGTGCCCCCGGAGCTAAGGGAGACCAAGGCGCCACTGGTTACACTGGTGCCACCGGTGCCACTGGACCCACTGGTCCTGCTGGCCCTCAGGGGCCTCGTGGTTTCACCGGTCAGACTGGACCTGTAGGAGCTAAGGGAGACACCGGAGCCACCGGTCCTCAGGGCATGAAGGGACACAAGGGAGACCAGGGCATTCAGGGAGCTCAGGGCAAACAGGGATACCCCGGCCCCGCTGGTAACCCCGGAGCTCAGGGAGCCTCTGGTCCTCAGGGCATGAAGGGACACACAGGAGCCCCAGGCATCCCTGGCTCTCCTGGAATCCCCGGCCCTGCTGGCCCCAAAGGACACCCAGGCCGTGCTGGTGAGCCTGGCTCTTCTGGCTCTGATGGCGCTCCCGGTGAGAGAGGACCCGCTGGCCCACAGGGACCTGCTGGAACTCCTGGTCTGAAGGGACACCCTGGTCTCCCTGGGGCCCCTGGCCCTGCTGGCCTTGCTGCCAAGGGTATCAGCGGCCCTCAGGGTCCCCCTGGTGTGCCTGGTGAGCCTGGTGTAGATGGTGCCGCTGGCCCCGCTGGTCCCCCTGGTCCCCCCGGCCCCCCAGGAGAGGTGATGTTTGAGAAGGGTATGGGAGTGAGCGAGGTGATGGTCAAGTCCCCCATGTCTGCTTTCACTGCATCCCTGGCCACGCCCTACCCCGCTGCCGGCAGCCCCATCAAGTTTGACCAGATCGTGTACAATGCAGAGAACCACTACGACCCCGAGAGCGGCATCTTCACCTGCCAGATCCCAGGGGTCTACTACTTCTCCTACAGCATCCATGTGAACGGAGCCCACGCCCTGGTGGCCCTGTACAAGAACGGCCAGCCCGTCCTCTTCAGCTACGATGAGTACAACAAGGGCTTCCTGGACCAGATGTCAGGCAGTGCAGTGCTGCTGCTGGACGAGCAGGACACAGTGTACCTGCAGATCCCTGATGAGGAGGCCAACGGTGTGTTCGCCGCTGAGAACGTCCACTGCTCCTTCTCCGGCTTCCTCATCGCCTCCACGTGATAGGCTCATCCACCCAGCCACGCATTGGGGCCTATTCCTCAGGGGACTGCCCTCTGTCCGGTCCCAGACTGAGGCAGAGGGCTCTTACTTGAGGAATAGTGGCATCTTGACTTGAACATTTACGAGAAACAGGTGCTAAGACGAAGGAAACTTAATTTATAAACCAAGTGATGAGGGACGGGGCGTGTGCGTCTGTGAGGGTACAGCATGTGAATCCAACTGTACTGGTGCTTTCTTCACTCTGTTTCTTTGATACTGAATTCAAGTGATAATTCTCATTCTGTTGTTTGTATTTGTCTGTTTTTGTACGTCATTGTTTGGGGCGGGTAACCATTCATCATATTCATGTGTGGTGTTACAACTGTCTGTATGTGACTTGCATATTGTGAAACTTAAAGAGTCAAATTGACTTTGGTAAAAGAAGTCACCAGAAAACTTTCAGTCAAGCACAAGAGAGCGAGATATATCCCTGACCATCTGTTTGTCATGAACAACTAAATGACTAATAAAGATGTCGTAACAACATTTTGCCTCCAGCCTTTGCTTCCATCAGAACGCCACTTTTATCTGCTCTGATCACAAGAATAATGTATCATCCAAAGTAATTATCTATAACTAATGTAAAATACATTGAGATCCAGTTGTAATTAACAGTTAACTGTGGGAGTGGGAATTGTACAGGTTTAAAAAAACAAAACACATCTTTTTGTACCACATATAACAGATCAACTTGTTTTGAAAGAATTTTAGTTTTTTCACTATCATCATCCCTATTTTTACAATAAACAATTAAATTAGTCATTAAGAGACAGAGAAACGACATTATTACTGCAGCAGTCATCACCACTGCCACCCTCTATCCCTCGGGCCTTTCTGTCCAAAGTTTGCATGTTCTCCCCGTGTCTGGGTGGGTTCCTCTGGGCGCTCCGATTTCCAGCCCTAGTATGTCTCATCTCAACTCATTTGATGACATGAAACGTGCATTCAGGAGGTCTGCATCTGTCTCCAGGTGCGGACTGCAAACCGTGACACGTTTGTAAAGGCTTTGAAGAAAACCACATTTTGAATCACTGCCTGAAGACTCCTCCTTGGAAAACAAAATAGACTTCAGCATAGATTAAACCAAGTGTCATCTGTGGTTTTAAATGGAGCTTCGATCTTAATTGATTATTTGTGTGAGATAAAACATTTGACCCAGTTTTAGTTGGTAACACAAGACCGCTCATAGGCAAACACTTGATACTTTGTTTGTTGGGGCAGAACCCGCTCGAACTCTGAGTTGAGTCTCAGTTTGTGATTAATGTGGTCTCAAAGGAATAAATGAAACTTTTCCAAAAGGTATAAAAAGTCCGGAAATACAAAGCTGTGGATCATCTCTGTATCGAACATCACTGCAAAGTCAGAATGATATGGGATGAGAATTTATACATGCGTGTGTATTTCACCATGTGTTGGTATATTTACAATTTCAATATATACATTTATTTCTATTTACAATTTGTCAGCTCAAAATGGAGTGGGAAAGAAGTAAAATGTGTTGACTCGTACATTGAATATACTAATGGACTAAGTTGAGTATAGTGTAGGAATGTAAATAATATGCAAAAGAATCAAATCAATATACACATCAGCATGCTTTGTTACATTCAACTATAATATCATGTTGTAGAATGTGTGTCTGAAGCTACTCATGTGTACATAACAGATAAAGTAGATGATAAAGTCTAGTTAAAAATCTCCACATCTGGTCTTCACAGCTTTAGGATTAGGTCAATAAAGTAAGGGTCTTATATAACATGAACAAGATGAGGAGTTGCCATTTGTCCATAAAATCTCTGATATAAACTTTATTAATAATAACAATGCATCAGTTTCATAGAGCACTTTGTGGACACTCAATTACATTATTCATTCCCTCCTTATACAGTGGTGATAAACTACTACTGTAGTCAAAGCTGCCCTGGGGCACTTTGATCGAGGTGAGGCAACCAGTATGTGCCATAAGCCCCTCCAACAAGGAACAACCACTCACACACATGTGGGTGAGGTGTCTTGCCTGAGGACACAATAACTGTTCGGCACTTGTTACGGGCCAGGCCCTTACTGTCCAGGAGAGGGAGCTGTCTGGGGTTTGCCTGCCTTCTCTGCTGTCTCCTCCTCTGTGCAGGTCCACACCTGCACCATGCCACGCCCATCATCAATGGGTTTTTTCACCTGGGAGCTGAGAGCTGCTCACTCTCCTCCTCGCCTCCTGTCCTCCTGTTCTCCGGTGCTGCTGCTCGGATGGGTCCTGTCTTGGTGGGCTCTTCTTGAGCCACCATGTCCATTCCTTTGTTGCACATTTGAGTTTGTCTTTTGGTTTATGCACCACATTCACTGCACACCACACACAGGCTTTCATTGCACTCAAACACCTGCACCACACACTGATTACAACATGCTCACATCCCATACCTTTGTTTTTGTCCATGTTATACTCTTTTTTTTATTATTAGGCCCGAGCCCCGAACGGGGTAAGGGCCTATTGCTTTCACAATGGTGAAAACAAATGGTGGCGGTGCGTGACGGACGCGTCAGCGCCCGTCACTCACCAAAATGTGACGGTTGCGTGCGTAAACTCAAACGCTTTAAAATGATGTATCACGTGCCATTGAAACCTATATTGTTTTTGCTCGAGACGTTAAAAAAAAATTCCTTTTTTATTTATTTATTAGGCCCGAGCCCCGAACGGGGTAAGGGCCTATTGCTTTCACAATGGTGAAAACAAATGGTGGCGGTGCGTGACGGACGCGTCAGCGCCCGTCACTCACCAAAACGTGACGGTTGCGTGCGTAAACTCAAAAGCTTTAAAATGATGTATCAGGTGCCATTGAAACCTATATTGTTTTTGCTCGAGACGTCGAAAAAAAAAAATCCTTTTTTATTTATTAGGCCCGAGCCCCGAACGGGGTAAGGGCCTATTGCTTTCACAATGGTGAAAACAAATGGTGGCGGTGCGTGACGGACGCGTCAGCGCCCGTCACTCACAAAAACGTGACAGTTGCGTGCGTAAACTCAAAAGCTTTAAAATGATGTATCACGTGCCATTGAAACCTATATTGTTTTTGCTCGAGACGTCGAAAAAAAAAATCCTTTTTTATTAGGCCCGAGCCCCGAACGGGGTAAGGGCCTATGGCTTTCACAATGGTGAAAACAAATGGTGGCGGTGCGTGACGGACGCGTCAGCGCCCGTCACTCACCAAAACGTGACGGTTGCGTGCGTAAACTCAAAAGCTTTAAAATTATGTATCACGTGCCATTGAAACCTATATTGTTTTTGCTCGAGACGTCGAAAAAAAAATTCCTTTTTTATTAGGCCCGAGCCCCGAACGGGGAAAGGGCCTATTGCTTTCACAATGGTGAAAACAAATGGTGGCGGTGCGTGACGGACGCGTCAGCGCCCGTCACTCACCAAAACGTGACGGTTGCGTGCGTAAACTCAAAAGCTTTAAAATGATGTATCAGGTGCCATTGAAACCTATATTGTTTTTGCTCGAGACGTCGAAAAAAAAATTCCTTTTTTATTAGGCCCGAGCCCCGAACGGGGTAAGGGCCTATGGCTTTCACAATGGTGAAAACAAATGGTGGCGGTGCGTGACGGACGCGTCAGCGCCCGTCACTCACCAAAACGTGACGGTTGCGTGCGTAAACTCAAAAGCTTTAAAATTATGTATCACGTGCCATTGAAACCTATATTGTTTTTGCTCGAGACGTCGAAAAAAAAATTCCTTTTTTATTAGGCCCGAGCCCCGAACGGGGAAAGGGCCTATTGTTTTTGCTCGAGAGATGTCAAATTCTGCACTTTGAGCCTTAATTTCACCCCCTGAACATGCATGAAAAGTTGTAAAATTTTGCCCAAACATCAGACCTGGTGAAAAATTTGATATTTTGGTGTTTATTTTTATGGGACTCAAAAAATGCCAGAACAGCGCCACCTACAACAGCCAATGGGAGTTTCAGAGGTCAAGTTTGTCGTAGAGCCATGAAATTCGGTACACATGTTCCTCAAGTCGAGATACGACCGAAATGTTATCATGGCTCCGCCCTCTGACAAACAGGAGGCCCATAAATGTCACTGCAAAATGGAAAAATGATCGGCAATCATTTTCATACATGTCGGTTGGAAAGCGACTCCTCCTCGGCCGTTTCACCGATTGGCCTCCATATCACTCCACATTGTCTAAACACATGTACCATCAAAATGACCTCAGGGATTTTTGATCAGTGAAACGTTGCTTGAGCAGCGGAGCGGCAAAATGTGAGTGTTTATTGGCCGTTTTTCACAACATTCTATTTGCTCCCGTTTACACATACAAATTCCGATTTGCACAAAACTTGAATCCATGGTTTAACTCTAGGGTCTAGGTCATTTGAAAGTGAAATATTTGAACTTGGCTCATTAACGCCCCCTACAGACTATTTCAGAGTTTTTGGTATGAAAAACTCTGAAAACTTTGACTCCATCTGTAGGGGCACTAATGAGCCAAATTCTTTTATTTCACTTTCAATTGACCTAGACCCTAGAGTTAAACAATGTATTAAAGTTTTGTGCAAATCAGACTTTGTATGTGCAAACGGGAGCAAATTTAATATTGTCCAAAACGTTCCTCAAGTCAAGACAAGAAAAAAATATTATTATGGCCCCGCCCTCTGACAAACAGGAAGCCCATAAATTTCACTGCAAAATGGAAAAATTAACAGCAAAAGTTTTCATACATGTTTGTTGGAAAGCGACTCCTCCTCGGCCGTTTCACCGATTCGCCTCAAAATCGCTCCACATCATCTCAACACATGTACCTTCAAAATGACCTCAGGGATTTTTGATCAGTGAAACATTGTTTGAGCAGCGGAGCGGCAAAATGTGACCTTTTTTTGTCCGTTTTTGACAACATTAAATTTGCTCCCGTTTGCACATACAAAGTCCGATTAGCACAAAACTTTAATACATTGTTCAGCTCTAG